AGTAACTGACTGTGACTAGTAATAATCAGATATATAGAGATTAGGGATGTGCAAACATCTTTATGTCAATTGTATTAAAAATGAATATTTTTCTGTATGAAACTATATTTTAATAATGAAATGAAGATCTTTTTTAAGGTTAAAACCTCATGTAATTTTATGTCTTATAGGGTTTATAGTGAGTACAGTATTGTATAACTGTAATAATTCAAATGTAAAGCTAAAATTTTATAGCCAATTTTGAAAGAGATGCATCTTAGCTCAGAACATTGTTATTGAATGTCAATGCTGTTGTAATGAAATCCTTCTAAGTATGTGGTTATTAAATAAATAATTTAAAAAAATGAAAAAAATGAACCAGTATCACTTTAGTGAAATTAAATATTGACATCATTTAAAGATTATTAAACTACCTAGCAACAAAGTAATTGTTGCACTTAGATTTAGAGCCTGTAAAACACAGCCTCCTAATAGCATCTAATCTGTGGGCCATCATTGGTACCTGACATTGATCCCCAAATATTTGCTTTTACATGTATGACTGACACATATTAAATGGACCTAAGAAAGTTCGCTGTCAGAAGAGAAAACAAATTATGACCTGTCTTCAGCTGTAGGGTCTTAACTTTGAGTTCTGGGAAATAATCAAGGGCACCAGCAATAGCCTCTGTTATTTTGGGAGTCTCTTGAACTACTCTGACTAATCTCTCAAAGGGAAGTCTTTCCTGTCTGGACTGTGTTCCTTGAAACACAGTCCCCACGTATACACATGCACTAACGTTTAGACACCACATGTGTATTTCTCAGGAGTTTCCCAAGCCAACACATTTCCCTCTGTCTCCTCATGCTAGCCCCTGACTGATTCATCTCTCCTCTCCCGGTCTAACCTTTCACCTCCCTCCCACATCAAGTCCCCCATTATCCCCACCATCCCATCCTCCCGTTGACACCCAACTCCCCCATTCCTCTCTCCTGAGCTGGAACTGACCTGCAAGCCTTTTCCCTGAAAAATAGCTCTTATAGTTCTAGATGATACTATGCAAGCTGCTAAGGGAGAAAATCAATCGATGGCCCCACCCAGTCCTAAAGTGGAATAAACATAATGACTGGCACAGCAAATTACCTCCACTGCTGCAGTAGTGTCAGTGTTACCAGAGGGGTAATCAGCAACTATCCAATAGGATTTAAAGCCCTCTCAGTGGGAGTGAACTCATGGGTGGCACTGCAGTTGTATCCAACTCTACATGGCTGGAGAGGTCATAGATATTAGAGAAAACCATATCGCTGTCATTTCTCTAGACAAATGAAAATTCTTAGCATATCATAAGTGAGAATTCTTGTATGCACAGGTAAGTATGCAGCACACCAGTCATCAAAGAAGCTTCTTTTAACAACAGATGGAGCCATTCCTC